GTCTGAAGGAATTTTGGAAAGTCCAACTCCCATGGTGAAGCCTGACCTGAGAAGAAATATGGCAGACATCCCTGAAATATCAGGTCCTCAGGAGAGAGAGAGAAATGTGGAATACCCAGAGGGAACATCTTCACCATGGGGGGTCTGCAGTCCCTACTGGGGAACCCGGTTCCCAGGGACAAGAGCAAGCTGCAACCTAGCACTAGGGTTTTGAGGAAGTGAGAGAGAGATCACAACTCTGGGTGTGAGGAGGACTCACCAAGGGAGAGAGGACCTTGAGGGAAGATTAGCCGGTGGTGGATGGCAGTTGAAGGCGCTCTGGGGTGAAGAAACTTCTTGTGAGCTAGTGAGAGAGTGGCATTTTTTTAGGATCAGGGGTCCCGGTAAAACAGCTCAGATCCCGGAGGAAGGGAATGGGAGTTGAGAGAGAGAGAGAGAGAGCAGGATGGGGTGGGGGAAGCTGGGAGAGCAAGGTTAGTGCCAAGAGCTCACCCAATCCAAGTCACAGCACCACATGTTAAGAAAAAAATGCTGCTCACAAAGAAAGCCCATGAGAGAACTCATGTCCAAGAGCAGGGTTTAATGTCAGGTACGAGGTAGTGCTGGAAGAGAGAGAGTTCAGGCCAAACATTTTTATAGAAGAAAGAGGATAAGGGGTTGGTGTATATGCCGGGGTCCCTGATGGGGGTGAAGCTTGGGTGGAGCTTGTCTGGGAGCATGGGAAACCTTGTTAAAGGGAGGGGCTGTTTACTGGGAATAGCTCCATTTTCCAAGATGTGAGGCCTGAGGATAAAATGACCACTGATTTATAAAATGGCCGTGTTATTGTTCTATCAAGTGTTACCACCATTTTCATCAGTCTCTGCTCATCATTGCTTTTCAGTTCTTTGTTATAAGATTGTATTCTTTTTTTCTAAAAGAACAAGATTAGAAGTATTTTTTGTACAGATCCCTTGCTGGTAAACATTCAGTTTTTGTTTGGTTGAAGGAGTCTTTATTTAACTGTCATCTGAAATTTGAATGAAATTTCAGCTGAGTTCAGAAGTCAAGATTAGTATGTTTTTTTTCCTTCTCTTTCTTCTTTGGGCATGTCATGTTCACGTCCTCATATTGGTGTCAAGATGTCACCTTCACCATATTCTTGTCTTAAAAGGAAACTTTCAAGTTTTCACTGTTAGTCATGTTTGTGGTAGGATTTTTACATGTATTATTTAATGATAAATAAATTTCCTTCAATAGCTAATATACTAAGATTTTTTTTAAAAAAATGTTAAAATACACTACATATTTTCTATGAAGAGGTATAAAAATCATAATATTTTAAGTTGTTGGTGGGCTTGATACATGCATCAAATCCCTAATATTAAGCTAAATTTTCATTCTGAGGAAAAACCCATGAAATCCTACTGCATTGCACCTGTTTTTGGGAATTGCTGTACTGGGTCCATTAAAATTTGTGTCGTGTACTTAAGTCCAAGCTAGTAAGTGAGATGGATCACTATTTTTACTTTCTTCTAAAGTTCTGATTTCAGTGTCATAAAGTGGTTTTTGAAGTATGTCTTCCTTTTTTTTTCTCTAAAGGGTTTATATGAGTTGAGAATCCTAACTCCATGAAAAGTTGTTCATTTAATGTGTTCTGTGAATAGAAAAGAATTTTTAAAACATTACTCAATAACTAAGCTACATTTGCAATAAAATGTTGAGTCATTGAAATTGTGTTTGGAGATTAGAATGTGAAAGAACAAGAGGTTACATGTCCAAAGATTGTAACTTCCACGTATATGCATTTAAATTGCCTTTATTTTGGCAAAAAATTTAGAATGTTTTGGGATTTTTTGTTTTGGGATTTTTTTGTTGTTGTTGTTTTGTTTGTTTTTTTAAGATGGGGTTTTGCTAGGTAGCCCAAGCTGGCCTTGAACTCATGATCCTCCTGCCTGAGTCTACCAAATGTTGGGATTCCAGGTCTGTGCCACCAGGCCCAGCTCAGAAAATCTTAATGGAAACAGTTGCTATAACAATAAACAGGGTAAAGGTTATTTTTGAGATAAATTTTATGGTACTAGTACACAGACAATTGACTTTCCATTTATTTATGTACTGTAGTATATTCATAAAAGCAATTAAAAGCCTACTTGAGATAAACATCCAGATTCATATCATGTGCTTTTAATGACATTTTCATTACATAAGATTTAAAAAATGAATATTGTAGCATTTTTAACAGTTTGTATAAAAATGTTGAGTTGTACATTTCTGTTGTGGAACCTCATGCAAATCATTTTAAGTTTTAAAATTTTTTTCTTAACTGCTATCTAGTTTCATCAACCATGTTAAAATATGTGACTCTTGCTTGTGTAACATATGGAGAGTGTTTTGTTCTAACATCATACTTTACCCTGCTCCATAGCTCCAATATCCCATGTCTAAGACATTCCACTTTTTTAAAGGTGAAAACAGTATATACCATCTCTTCAACATTTTCTTGCCTTGCTTTTGACAGTTCAGGTTGAACTTTTGAGTTATTTTTAAGACCAAGACTCTAGCTTTCTGAACGTATGCTCTCTCAGCTTCCAGAACAGAAAGTGTACAAGGAATCTCCTCTGAGTGATTTATTCTACGTGACTATGCTTATTTTGAAAATCTGCCAGATTTGCTTTTTATACTTTCAGTGCCTCAAGTGGAAATCAATTAGAATACCTGCTGCTTTGAATAGCAGATAATGGCGTTAGGTCAGACTGTAGACCACCAACAGTGTTCAACAAGCAAGTATTATTCTAAAATAACAATATGGAAAAGTTCTTTTTAGTTGTATATGTATTGGTTAACTAATGAACTTGACAAAAATAATTCTTTTTATAACACAGCTAGGCTTTGTTGCATAGAAGTAAAACAATTCTTTGGTGGGAATTCAGCATTTGACCCTGCAATTATAAAACATTCTTTGTAGAAAAGTCTTGAGGGGGTTAAAATGTTTAGAAGCTAAAATGATCAGGCCAGAGATCTGTTAATTCATATGTAAATATGTTCACAGAAAGCACATGATGAACAATGGGCCTCTGTTTATTTTAGAGAGTCTAAAATATTGAGGAGCAGCATCACTTAGGCACTCTTTAATTTCCTACAAGAGTTTTTGAGGAAGATATGTATAAATAAAAATCACATTAGTTAAGATAAACCAAATACTAAACATTATAAGATATTCTTGTGAGAAATATTTTGAAACAGAAAATATTTGTCACAGGAAATAAATTAAGGCAAGTAAGATATATCACACTGTAGATATAGGAGTTTACAAACAGTTCAGAAATCTTAATTTCAAAATAAAAATAAGGAAATATTTTATGAGTTCTGAGAAATTCAGACTAGATTCATAACGAAACTTATTAAAACATTAGTTTAAAAATATTCTTTCCAGGGTAGTTAATAGATCTTAAATTATTATTATTAATAATAATAATTAATTATTATTATTGTACTGTGGGTACATTGTAACATTTACCAAAGTTCTTATGATATATCATAGTTTGATTCACTCCCTCCATCATTTTCCTTTATCCCTTCCTACTTCCATTCCTGTAATTTTGCTGATATTTAGTGTCTTTTGAACACAACCACCAAAATAAGCCTCTTAAAATATCATTTTTACTTATCAACTTGCTGGTAAACTGCTAAGTGGTTTCTTTTTTCTTATAAATATTGAGTCCTTCTTGGTTCTTTTCCTTTCTTTTAAACAAAAAGTCACAAATTTATAACCTTCAGAGTCAATAATATAGTGCAATTTCCTCTTCTATCTTTTCAATCTGTTCTTCATTACTTTTTTCCTTTACAGTGGTCCCCCCTTATCTCTGGGGGATACTTTTCAAGGTTGCAGGGGGTATCTGCAACCATGGATAGTTACAGCACTATATGTACTATGATAAAGTTTAATTTACAAATTGGACACAATAAGAAATTAACAACAATAACATAATAGAATAATTCAAACAACATGCTTTTATGTAAGTGATTTAAAATTTGTGAATTGTTTATTGCTGGGGTTTTCCATTTAGTATTTTCAGACAGTAATTTAAGTAACAGAAAACATGGAAGGGCAAATTGTAGATAATGGGGCACCAGGGTCTTCTCACTTTTTCATTACAATGTCAACTACAGTGCTAGTAGATCTGTCTTTATTAACCTATTCTCCTCCACCCTCTTCTCCAGGTGTCTTTCTAAGTCAGTAAAGATTAGATGCTCAGGTGATCTTCCAATATCTCTCATGGATTTCATGTTTTTATGCAATTTATAGGCAATAAGCTTGTGTCTAAAAAAAAAAACCACATTTTTGAGAATATGTTGGCCTCTTCAAACTTATCTCTGGGCTGGTCTTTGTGGCTGCAATTTCTGACCATCTGTCCTCTTCCATTTCTTCAGAATTCTCCTCTTTTATTGTCACTATGTCTCTGCAACTTAACCCAGTATTTTTTTAATTCCCTTTAATTCTTCACTAGAAAAACTTTATTGTATTTAAAATATCTAAAACTCATCCATATGCAGATAAGAATGACTGAAAGTCATTATGCTAGGGCCAAGAAAATACATACTACCAATGATGTATAAGCATAATGTAGAGTATAAGTAAAGAGAAACTTTAGGGGAGAAGACCCTGAATTCCTACCACAAATACAAACTCTTAGTCTTCCAAGCTCACATCAAGGTATAAGTAATGATTTTCAGCTTATATTCTTCTGTTGTATCAACATAAAGCTTCATAACCATATGTATTTTATTTAAATAAATTATTAAATTTACTTTATTAAACAGATTTTCCATTTTTCTATATTTCTCTTCCAATCACCATATGAGCCACATACTTCTTATGTTTAATATTATCAGTGTCTAAAGTATATTTTTATACAAATGGTTTTTGTTCTATCAAAATAACTTTCTCAAAGATTATTGGCTTGAATTCAAAACTGTGACTCCTTCTGCCTTATTAGTCATTGTACATTTGTTTTCAGCATGTTATTTGCACGGGATTATGGTGCAAGGTAGAAGGTGAGGAGGAATGCAGAACCAAGCTGGATCCACCAATGGATGGAACTGACTGTGACCCCGGTAAGGTAAGTCATTTATGTTGCCTGAATTTAATAAGATTTGCATTTTCCCTTGCCAGTTACACATGCATCCATCTTAACATCAATGGAATTATTTCAGGATATATAAAAATGTTAGCATTTTGCCTATTTTTAACTCTTCTATTTTTTTCAATTTCATGGATGTTTTGTTGGTTTTATTGTTGTATATTTTTATTATTGCTGATTATGATAATGTTGAGAAATTCGTTTACTACTTTCACAAAAAATGAGTGTTTTTTTACTGTTTAAATTAAACAGAAATTAAATATGCAAAAAATAATAGCATAAATGGTAAAACTTCTGAAAGTTGATTAATTCTATTAGGTACACAGCTGATTAATCTTTCCTGGAGAGCAACTGAGTATATTTTTTCTTTTCAATGTAAGCACCATAAATAAAATATTAAAATTGACATTTGGAGATTAGCAAATTTTTGGCTAGGTAGTTTAATCAAATGTGCTTTATAAGGTTGTTGGAATTTATTAGCTTACATTTTAAGATCAAAATAATTGCTGTTGGAAAAATAATTTTCCTTTGAGGAACATGAAGTAGGTGAGTTCCATATGTACTTACAGTTATGGCTAATTTAATCAAAAGATAATAGATCAATGCTCTTCATAATTTTTAAATTTGTACACTATGGCAAACTTGTGGAATGATTGTCTGTTTCCTCATTAATTGTAAGATCAGAAACTTGGCCTCAGAAGAACACGAATACTTATTTCATTTGAAAATAAACAGCAGATTTCCTGAGGTGAATTACTTAAGAAAAAATAAGTTATGTAGAGTGCTAGTTTAAAAACAAACACTTTGAAAAATGGATGAAAATCTAGCATTTTCACATTTTACTTACACACAATGTGCAGATGCATGCACCCTCGCACACATACAAAGATACCTGTGTAAACCAGTAGTTTGCAATGATGAGAAGTGAGAAATAATGAAAATATTAATTAGACAAGGACTGGTTCCAATATGGTTGTTAAACAAAAATGAAATAGATATATACACACTTGCATAAAGAGATGTAGGAGACACGGCTGTTATTATAGGCATGTCAGAAACCTGATACCTTCATATACTATTTGAAATTTAAAACACAGGTTGCAAACAGATGTGAAAACATCCACATAGTATATGCATATTTGAAATCACAGAAAATTGTTTAAAAATATAAATTACAAATTGTAATCAATAGTTAACCTTTTAGAAGGGAAGTGGGATTGATAGGTAGGAGTATGGCAGCTGGAAATGAGGATGAATACATTTCTCCAGACATTCTGGAATTGTGTGATATAAGCACATGTACTTCTATTTTTTTTTAATTAAAAAAAGGAAAAAAGTGAAACTATTTTTGAAAATGCTATAAATGTTTTATCACTAGATACTATCAATAAGAAAGGTCCTTAGAGAAAACTTCTATGGAATATCAATAAACTATTTATAGACTGCCAAATATTTTCCTATGAGTTTAAATGAAGAGTCAAATTTTGGGTCTTTTTTTTTTTCTTCAATTCTATACAGAATACAATGATACAATAATGTGTGTATATCAGGCAAGTCTAGTGATAGTAAGCTGAATAATTTATTGCTTCAGTCATAAAACTTTGCACTGGCAATGATTTTCATCATCTCTTAATCACAAAAAGAGTAATACATCCTGGCATCCTTAATATTTTTCTATCATGATTTTTTAACTTCTCATATTTTTGAGAATAATTTGCACTCTTGAGATTTCTAAACTAAACACTCTTTTAGAAATCAAATCTGTAATTTACTCGTCAAAAATAAAATCAACCATATTATTGACATTCTTTTAGAGATTCTGTAGTGGTCTGTGTACTAAAATAACTAATGCTCTTCTAAGTTCCTCAGGCAGAGTATAGTCCTTCACGTACCCATGTGTTTCAGCTGTTACAGACATCATTTGTAAATAGATTGTGACACTGCTGTTGTGGGTGGTGGTGTTAAAATATTTGAAAGCTTGAAACCTAACACTAAGCACTGCTATCTTGATACAATGCAAATCAAGAAACAAAACTATGGATTCTCAATTTTATAACACTCAATGATATTAATTGAGCTGTATAAATTTAGTTCATCTAAGAGTATTTAATTAAATGAGAAGGTATCTAGAGAATTCTATGACCCAAAAAATGACATTGAAGATAGAGATTTATTATTTATAGAATATATTTTCCAAATTAATAGAAACTTGTTTTCTTTTTATTATCATCTCTACAATTTCTATCATTTTATAATTTACATTGATCAGAGATTAGAGTTAATAAGTGATTATTAAAGATCAATAAATGTATTTACTTATTTGCAGTATTTGCTGAAATGGAGGGAAAAGGATGTTAATTCCCAATTTATTAGAATTTTAGAGTGATATGAAGGATTCTGTGTAATGTAGTTTTAATTATTCATCTCCCTAAATTGAGCTTCTCAAAATTGCTGTCATTATTCATTACTGGAAATAAAGAAGACTTTAATGCCCTAACAAATCAGTGTGCATATGTAGAGAGCCTATGGCTTGTCTTCTTTCTCATCTTTCTTCTTTTTGCTTCTCTCTCTCCCACAGCGTGTACACAAGATTTCCTTAGAGAATAGCCGACTACTTTGATATCCTCATGACCCTCTCCCCATCATACATTCTCACAAACTTCTTAAACTTGTCCATGTAAAAATTTGGTAGAAAGAAATGTAATCAGATTTTTAGGTCATGTACTCTCCCAGAAATGGTTAATATTACATATGCCTTTAACAATTTCATAAATCAAATTGAATCTTTAGATAAAACAAATTTTGTGCTTTGAAACTATGTGTGTTATCTTTTTCGAGGCTGAAAAATAAAAGCGTATGTCATAAAACATGGTGCTAGCAAACTTATGAAAAGCTCCAGCAGGATCATTTTACATAAGAATCCAACAAGATATATTGTATAATAATTTGAAGACAAAAAAGAACATTTAACACTTTTCCGAATGTTGAAGCATAGCACCATGTAGAAGACATGACAGCAAGTCCCCCTGGTTTCATGCAGAGACCTGGGTTATCTGCAGAGTGACAAACTTAGCTATTATGTCTTGAATTCTACTGACTTGTGTATGCACACTGGCTTGCACATCTATTTCCATTTTTCTTCATCTGCCAGATGTGATCCAGCTTCAATTATGTGCAAGTCTAGATCGTGGTCCTTCTCATAATATTTTTAGTTTGTTATGAATACTAGCCCATCCTTCTAGTGCCAGCTTGCTGCTAAATGGGCAAGGATATGCACCCTGGGAAAAATAAACACCCTTCAAGTAGGCCAAAACACTGTGACCAATTGAAGTTTGATAGCTTTCAAATTGGATATATTCCATGACTGGCATAACATTGCTAAGTCCTTAAAACTAGTAAGTAATGTAAAAAGGTTTTACACAGTTTACTCTTTCTTCCCTGGTGCAATTTTCACACTGCATTTTTCTACAAGATCCCAGTTTATTTACTGATAACCCTAAGGTGGTGATACATCCTGTGTTATTGAGAGTTTGGTTTTTTTGTTGTTGTTTATTTTTTTCAAGATTACATGTAAAACTTCTTAAATGTAAAAGAGATTGCACTTAAATTCTGGCATTGTTAGAGAAAAATCTGTAAGAACTAATTATTTTATCACATATGTAAACATTAACTAAACAAACTAAATGTTAATAGCATCATATGATGAATCCTTTCTCATAAAAACAGATACTCCTAAATTAATATTAGAAATTAAGGATGATCAAAAAATATCAGAACAAACAGAAATTTGGTTAGATTTCTAAAAACTATCATTATAAAGTTAATGTAATGATACATAAAATAATGTGTTACTATAGTTAACCTCTACTGAATCCTATTCATTGTCCTTAGTGTTTCATTCAGCCCCTGAAAACATGACCATTTGGGTAATAAGGTTTCATTCATACTTTATGAAAATGGGCACATTGAAGCTTATAGCACTTCTGTAATTTTTTCAGAATCCTTTTTAAGTCCGGGCGTGAAGCACCAAAAATCCTTTAAGAAGGATCACCTTGCTCAGCCCTGTCATTTTACAACTATTGTTTTACAATCTAAATGTTACTAACTTTTACTTATTGCTGTCAACATGATCTTGTTGTTTCTGCGAATACGTTTTGCTGTGCCCATCCCCTATCTGGTGAATACGTTTTGCTGTGCCCATCCCCTATCTGATTTTCAAGAATAGGAGAAAAAACATAATACTCTTGTCCACATACTCCTGGCAGCCATTTTCAAAGACTACAGAAATAGCCTCACTCATTGCTTTTGTTTCAAGTTAATGAAAAAGAAAGAGAAATGAAAAAAACAAAAAAAAAAAGGTGATGACTGCACTGCTTTCTTTGTTCTCATGGTAAAATCCTTTCCAGTTATTTTTCCCAGTTACTAGATACCAAATTAGCTATGGAATAATTGGAATGAAATGGTAGAATTCCAGGGTCTGAATGCCCAAATCTTTCAAACAAACTTAACTTTCTGAGGAAAGCTTGCTATAATGTTAGTGCTTGAACATGATGGGAACTCTTTCAGGAAAAAAAAAAAAGTATGAAGAAAAGTGTTAAAATTAAATCACATTTTTTATTACAAGGAAAGAAAGTACTCTGAATTACTGACATTTCAAATCAAATTTGCTGAAGTATCTGCTTCAACCTGGTTACAGAAGGACATTTATTTCTTGCTTTTTAATCCTTACACATGACTATGATTTCATGTCCCTTTAAAATTGTTAGATGTTTCTCAGAATGTTAGTATTTTTGTTGTGCAACCTCAAATTCCTTCCCCATCATCTTCACTCTGTCTCCCTCACAAGTACTGAATTATCAGCATTGCAGTACCAAATCCCTGTGCACTGCTTTAATGACAAGATTGTATCACTTGTAACCAGAAAGGAGGCAACTGGACCATTCTATTACTATGACAAACAGCAAGTGCCAACTTACTTTTGGTTCTTTTCAATTTCTCATATTTTGTGCTATAGTAGACTTCGTTCACTTGCATTAATTCCTGTGACTCTATAGGCCATAATGGTTTTCAGCTGTGCCCTGATTTGTTCACCTAAGACATAACTTTTGGAATAGTGGTGTAAGGCTGGAGAGTGTACCAGCAGGACCTCAGCACCTGAGCATCGGGCTGGAGAGTGGAGCGAGTGGAGTTCCTGTAGCCGAACCTGCAGTTCTGGGATCAGCAGCCGGGAGCGCAAATGTCCTGGGTAAACTCAAAGTTCCTGAATTGGGGGAAGGCATTTCTCTTCAGGTTTTAAATGCAAAGCTTTTACCAGGAACCATGTCAGAAAGCAAAAGAAACCTTTCAAACTCTACTCCACTTTGGAAAACAGAAAAGTCTCTCAAGTTATGTATTTTATGCAAAAATTCCCTTTTAAGAAGGAAATAACGGTCAGCCTTTCTAAGAATAAACAATGAAAACTACGAAAGGAAATATTTGCATGAATCAAAGAAAAGGTACTTAAGTAGGCTGGAAGATGTGTACTTAAAAAGTAGGTGAATATTTGAAGGAACTGTGAGTAAAATAGAAAGATGACAGGTCTTCAGAAAGACAGGGAATGAGAACAAAATCAATGATGATAAAAGCTAAAACTAAAACCAAAACCTAGTAATGTCAGCCCAGGTACATTCAAGGATTGCTGTAGGATCAGCTAGCACAATGCCATCATGCCTAGAGAGATTCTAGGAAAGTGTGAGAAAGAATTCAGCTTGTGTTCTTTGACTGTTAGGGTGGATCTCAGTGACACAGTTCAGTCACAAGCAGTTTTAAAGAATTTATATGAGTTTATTTGAAAACAAATGCTTGATAATTCTAAGATTCAAACTTCCTCGTGAGAATTGCAGACAACCTTTTCCTTTTACTCCCCTGTTTTATTTTCATGGCAAGTTGGCTTTTATTCCTCATATATTTTTGGAAAACACATTACTGATTGAAAAAATATACTTTGTTTATAAAAAATAAGCATATGGATTTCATACTATGATCAGTCGTTTAAATGTGCAACATTCTCAAAAGTAGATTCTAAACTGAACACATTGGCTCAGTTGTGGAGGCCGAGAGGAGGAGGGTTGAGGTCCAAGGTCCCCTGACGTAAGCTAGTGATGTGCTCCTGTCATCGTACTACTGCAAGAAGTATACAATAGGCGAATCATGGTCCAGGCTGGTCCAGGCACCAAGCAAGATCTTATCTCCAAATAAATGAAGCAAATAGGACTGGTGATATGGTTTAAGCAGTAGGGTCTCTGCTAACCAAATTCGAAGCCCTGAATTCAAACCCCAGAACAACCCACCCTAGTAGATTTAAATATAAATGATTATATTTTATTAATGTAATGGTTTTACATTTTAAAAATTGGTAGTTATCATAAAAAGACAAAATTGATTATTTGTACTATCTTTTCTAGGCTAGGTTCTGAAGCAAGGGATTGTAATGGTCCCAGAAAACAATACAGAATATGTGAGAATCCACCTTGTCCTGCAGGTTTGCCTGGATTCAGAGACTGGCAATGTCAGGCCTATAGTGTTAGAACTTCGTACCCAAAGCATGCTCTTCAGTGGCAAGCTGTCTTGGATGAAGGTATGACCAAGTAGATCACCACCATTTTAATTTAGTAGAATTCAAGAAAATCGTATGTTGCCTTATTAGGTAAAAGTGTCAGTCCTTTCCCATGGCATGTGGGCGATGGGGTGGAGTAGCAGTTGCCAAAGTGTTAATGGATTCTCTCACTTCATTGGCCATTATCACCAGTTTCTCCTTTATTTCCACTTAGACTGTGATTTCTATCCTGTCAATAGCCTGAATTCCATTTGTTTTCAATTTCAGGGCCTCCCCAATAAAACCCTTCTTTCAGGGTATAAGCATATGAGAATACAAGCAGTAATGCAAGCAAACAATAGATTATCCCACAACATAATGGCAAAAACAGAAGTTTGTAGATGATTACCTCCTTCCCACTATCAAACACACAGGCTTATCCCTATCTGCAGATATCCTATCTGTTTTCTACTACATAACAGAATTTCATGTAGTTCCTCTTTCTTTCCATGGTGGCCAGTCTGTCCAACTCCTCCCTAATGCTAGCTTCATCTTTTCCTTTCAGATATCTCAGTAATTACTCTTATTTTCTTTTAGATCATTAATCACCTCAGTGTTATGTATCATTCACAAGGAAAAATCTTCCCTCACGTGCATAGCCATCTTGAGCTGGTGGTCTCTAGCTTTTCTCCCTCAAAGTCCTCTCTTTCCAAGCCCTCTGTTTTCATAACTTCAATCTGAATTCCACTGCAAAGCTCCCTAATGCCATGAGAGGTTTCTTGGGATCTAAGTCTTAATGAATGGTTTCCTGTCTCATTCTGACATGACCATCGGACGTGTTCTCACGCATGACCACCCTATGCTTCTTGAAACACTTATGTGCCTTGGTTTCTGTGCCACAGCAGCCATCTGGCTCCACCTCTGTATCTGTGGTGTGTTCTCCTTCTGCCTACTCCAGATGCTATGCTGTTTTCACTATACTTTCTTCCTAGATCATCTCATCTATTCCCATAACTTCAAATATGCAAATAACTCAGATTTTTCCTTTGAGCCTTGAACTTGTATGTACAACTGTCTGTTTGATACTTCTACTTGAATATTTTGGCCCACACTTATGATCTTAACCTTTCCTGTCAATGTCCATATGAGCCTTTATGGTATTTCTTTTTTCAGTGAAAATCACACAAACTTTTTAGCATACCAACTTGATCACTTATTTTTTAGGGACATTTTAATGACCTTTTCCTTTACCTTTCCCTGCCTTGTCTGTATGAATCCTTTTTGTAGTCCCCAGTACAGACCAGCCAAAATCCATTCCACTCCCCAGGCACATGATGTTCTCTTATTTCTGGGCCCTTATAGTGAATTTCTTGGTATAATACCTTTTCAATCTCAAACCTTGATCTTTCTTCTTATTTATTTAACTTGAAGACTTCTGTTTATGGAGAACTGAATTTATGTCAATTCCTGTAGGATAAAAAGAATTTCCCTAACCAGGCACAGCTGCCACATGTCTATAATCCTATCAACTTGGGAGGTAGAGATAAGGAAGATTGCCATTCTAGACCCCATCTCAATAAAGCTGGGCGTGGTGGCGTGTGTCATCCCTGCTTTGGTAGGAAACATAAAATAGGAAGACCACAGGCCAGGTGACCTCGGCAAAAAGCGAGACCCTATCTCAGAAATAACCACGGCAAGAAAGGGCTGGAGGCATCAAACAGTAGAGCACCTGATTAGCAAGTTCAAAACCCTGAGTTCAGACCCTGGTATCACAAAACAATAAAAAACATATCTTCCAAATGAGTATATGCCACTTACAAGCACTGCACAATAACTGTACAATACCCTGTAATAGCACATTTCAGGCTATATTTCTTTCATCTAATATCTGTTCCTAGTACACCATATGAGCTTTTGAAATTTGAATATATTGTCAGCATCTTATTATTGTTAAAATATAATCAATATAACTATTCGTGTCTGATTATTTGAGAGTTAATCCTGTCTCTACTTCTAACTGGCTGTAAGATTTATAGCCAGTGATGGTAAATTTTTTTGGCAAGAGATCAACACAGGCTTCCTCCAGATTAAAAGGAAATCAGAGTTGGGTGCACGTCAATTTAAAAATTAAAGATGTTGGAAATCACAACTTCCAACCTTGTGATGTTTATCATCAGTGATTCACAATAGCAATCTAGATAATCAAAAACTGAGTGCTTTTATCATTTTAACTAATTCATAAAACTTCAAATAAGTATGTATTTCTGAGGTACCAAAACATCACACACACACACACACACACACACACACACACACATGTATGTATAAATATAATGTACAAATCAGGTTAACACATTTACCTTCTCAAACATTCACCATTTCTATATGGTAGAAACTTTATTCTAGTGTCCTGAAATGTACAGAGCACTACAATTGTCTATGTTCACTCTAAAATCACACACAGAACTTCTGGCTCCTGACTGTATCTTGGTACCTATTGATCAGTCTTTTTCTATCGTTCCCACCCTCTAATCTCCCCAAACTCTGTGAGCCACTGTTCAACTCTCAAATTCTATAAGATAAATTTTTTGTGTTATTTATTTGTTTATGTATTTCTTTATTTTGGCAGTAGTAGAGATTGAACTTAGGGCCTTGTGCTTAGTAGGCAAGTACTTTCTCACTTGAGTCATGATCCAGTGGGATTAACTTTTTTAGCTTGGCAATATGAATGAGATCATGTGGTATTTGTCTTTCAGTGCCTGGCTTATTTCACTTACTATAATGGATCCCCATTTCCATCCATGTTGTCATAAATGACAAGATTCTATTCTTTTTTATAACTGACTAGTATTCCATTGTATATATAGATCACATTTCCCATATCCATTCATCAATCAATAGGCTCTTAAGTTATTTCTATTTCTTGGTAGTTAATTCTAAATAGTGTTGCAATGATCATGGGAGTTTGACTGTCTCTTTGACATAATGTTTCATTTCTTTTGGCTATATACTCAGTAGTATAAATACTGGATCAAATGATAGTTCTATTTTTAATTTTTGATGAGCCTCTATAATATTTCCCATAATGACTATTCTAATTTACATTCACATCAACAGTGTATAAGGATCCCCCTTTCTCCATGTTACCAGCACTTGCTTTATTGAGTCTTTTTTTATAACAGACTTTCTCGCAGAATAAGATATTATTGTAGTTTTGATTTGTATTTAACAAGTTAATTTTGTAATACAGATCAATTAAGTATGCCAGTCTTTATGAGGAATAAAAGTCACAACAATTGCTAGCTTTCATGTATATAGCACTATAGGAGAAAATGAATGACAAAATTCTTTTAAAAATCTGAAGTTGTCATAACATGAATCTTTAAAATACAAGTAGTTAGCTCTGTTATTTTTGTATAATAGATGAATCTATGACTAGGCAATTTACAGTAGGGTATCAATTTAATAGCGAACATTCATTTATAGAGAAAAGAAATGTGTGGCTTTATCATTCAGGTATGAAACTTGGCTGGTACCCCTGTGTAATGCATACCTTGGAAAGGGCTGGTCTCTTAAATCAAGATAGAGCCTGCCTGCCAAGTCCTGGCATGTTACATGGATCGCTACAATGTCACAGTCTTGAGGGCATACTCCAGGAAGGAAGATTGGTATCAAATATTTATGTCTTCTGTAAACCTAAATTCAGCAGATTGTATCGACAATGTGTTATAGAAGGAAAATAAAAAGACTTTTATCCAGTTTCGTGTTTAAAATGTGAGTGGACTTTTCTCGGACACTAAGTCTTTTCAACATCATTTATATATCTGGTTTGCTCCTATCTTCAATGAAAACTCCAGAAAGAGAATTATATATACCACTTTTAGAGTGTTGCAATTCTAGTGTCTGTTTTTAAGTCCAAAGATATGACATAGCAAGCAGTCACTGAATAAACATAACTCACTTTGAGGTGTGAGAGCACACTGAAGTGCTTTATTGCGGCTTATAACACATCTTAAAGGAAAATTTCAAAACCATGCACATTAAAGGCCATGTTCCAACTCCCAAAATTGTTCAGAGCAGTATTCAGAAGCCACATGTGAAAACTGTTTGAAATGTTCAATTCTGAAGGCTCACTTAACTGTCTGTCTTCTCTTTGCAAAGTGATACCCTGTTCCATGCCTCTGGCTGTTATTTGGTATTTATAGAATCCCATCAGCATACGTGGAACTTTACTGAAGACATAAGGGAAGATCAGTGTCAGAGACTGTAAACTATTTTCCATTCTATTTATACAAGCTTAATAAACAGTAAAGGGCCTGACTGGTGTCAAGCCAATAGAAAAGTAATGTAGCATGGAAATTGCTCTGAAGTTTCAAATTTGGATAGTTGTACTACTGGTGTTACCAAATACTATATAGCTCCTTGGTAGGAAGCTTAGAAGTAGAAGAAACTCTTTAAAAATATTTTACCACTCTTTGAACTTAACAGGCAAGTGTTTTAACTCCAGCCATCCTGCATTATTGCTCAGAAGGCACTGATAAAGACTGCTAGCTCTCCAAGAATTCTTCACCTAAAATAATGGCTCTCAACTTAGATGCTATATACACTGATGTGATTTCTGAGGAAGCAGTAAAGGAGATAGAGTCTTGGTTAGCACATCAGCGATCTGCATCTCCATAGATGTTCTCATGGAATGTATTCCATTTCTAAACATCTAGGAATGGGAAATCCCATGAGGATTATTTATCTTAGTTATTCTTCTTTTTCTACTTTGTAGGCTTTCAACTAGAAAATGTATGCACAGTATTAAAGATTAGTGTATTGAAGTTTAGAAGTGAAGAAAGGCTTTGTGGATAAAGTATTACTTAGGAGTTAAATACGTATAATTCTGACACATACTTGAGATGAAGAGGAGATGGTTTTAAAAGTTATGAGCAAAAATGAGGAACAAAATATTTCTTGGGGAAAATGGTTGGTTTGTTTGTGATAGAGGTTTTATGCTACGAAAATAATAAATAATACTCTGAAAGTAATTTGAAGTCAGATTTCCCTAGAAGGAGATAGTCACTCAGTATATATTTTCCTAAACATGTCATCTAATACAATACCCTCTAATAGTAACCTACTCCAATATTATATTAATCAATTAGCACTGAATTATATTTTTGTTCAACAGCATTATGGAAAATGAAGCTTAAAAATGTTTATGGAGTTATTTTCTCTCATTTCTTTTCATCCATTCTTTATGTAGAAAAACCATGTGCCTTGTTTTGCTCTCCTGTTGGAAAGGAACAGCCTGTTCTTCTGTCAGAAAAAGTGATGGATGGAACTTCTTGTGGATATCAAGGATTAGATATATGTGCAAATGGAAGATGCCAGGTAAGACATTTCAAAAAGGGGTACATGTGCATTGGGGGAAGATGTCGCACTGTTGGGAAGCTTCATAGGAGGGTAAGATAGAAAGCATTGGAATATGATTCAGAAGGTAAAGTCTGGACTTGGTTGTGACCTTGAGTAAGTCTAATCTACTTTGTGCAAGTCTGATTCATTTCTTCATCCTTATAATAACAGGTTTGGACTGAGTAATCCATAAAACCCATTACTACCTGAATGAATCTAAGATTTTGATTATTTAGTGTATATGTTACAGGTTTAAAATTGGAACACTTTTATATCAAAACATTCCAGACCAAAACATCAAGAACTCCAGTTCTTCATGTCTGTGTACAAGAGTGAGCCAGGAGGCAGAAAACTATAAAATCAATTTTGTTAATCATATTCAAGTATTTATTAACATTCTTGAATCAACTCATTTTTAAATGCATGTCAATTTTCTTATGATATTGAAATTTTGTTTGCTTTTTCTCTTCTTAAAATAATTTCCATTTACATGTGTGTGTGTGCTCTTCCTCATCTATCTTTAGAAAATAGTGAGTCGGAAGATCGTGGTGGAATCAAAGACTAGAAATTAGGATTTGCTCTTTAGAATTCTAACATTGTCTCAGGTTGGCTTCTCCTGAAAGATTAATATGTAGGAAGTTTAATTCCAGTGTTTCCATGATGACCACATGGGAGAGGAAGGAGGTAGAACTGGGCACAAGAAGAAATGCTCCCTGTATGGATTACTAAAGCTGTAATGTCTCTTCAGTTGTCAGCTTCTAGGGTTAGAAAGCCAGACCTTTTAGTCCTTCACATCTGCTAGCCTTAGAATGTGAACATCCCCAGAAAGGTGATAAGGTATGTGGAAAAGCAGTTTTCTTTATGCTAGATGGGTTCTGAAAAATTTCCCAGAAGTAGGAGTAAAATAAGTCTGCTAGCAATGAAAGAGGAAACTGATGGTAGCAGCACTGAATCCATGACCACCATTAGGAAACTGTTCTTGGGAAAATAACATATAACATATATGAATGCATTGACTAATCTGAAATGAAGCTCTTGGACCAGTGGTCCTTAACTTTGTGCTATGCATTCCTTTGAGGATTAGATGAAAATGTTTTGTCCCAGAAAACATGCACATCCAAACATACACACATGCACCTAACACACACACACCAATATTTGAAAACAATTACAAGCTATGAAAGGATGCAATAGAAGTTATAGACTTCTAGGTAGCTGGGAACATCATGCACCTTAAATGCTTTTGCAGCTCCAGTAGTCTAAATTTTGCTAGCATGCTATGAAGTTTAAGACTTTGAACCATGCCATTGCCATAAGAAGTAGTCTTATGATTATATATTAATTTCCTTTACTCTGTAACAGAATATGGCAATAACCATATTCTATAATTTTTCAGTTACCTGTAAAAAAATCATAGGTATTTGAGCTGTACGTGTTTTGAGTTTGGAAGTATATTTTGTGCATTTAAAGGTTTTACCTTTATTTCATTACTATATGTAAATCTGTCAGATCAGTGTATGTCCTCAGTGAATATTTTTTCAAAAAATATTTCTTTTTAAATTATATATGTTTTTCACTTAACAGTGTTGTACAAGCCAAATCTTTTACATGGTGTCTGACTAGATATTAAAATTACAAGAATGACAAAAATTCTGCACAAATGCCATATGAGCCTTATGATTCTAATTAGATTAGAATTCTCTGAAATGGATTGTGACTTCTAACAGCATTAGACTACTTCAGGATGCTTTTTTGTTAATTGAAATGTTTCATTCAATCTTTCTGTATAAACATGCCTTATTTGACAGCCTTCTGTAAATTGGGGAAATATTGTATCACAAAATATATACCATAAAAGCTGAACTTAGAATTCTAAACTTGGTTTATGGAGGCATGGAAAACAGCTTTCTGCCGGTGACCCAGTTTGTCTTTGTGGCATTTCTGGTCATGAAAAGTTAGGAAGGCTCAGCCCTGTGACACTTGTTTGTTTCCCCATCTCCAGCATGCCAAAGGTGCTTCAGCCACCTGTCATCTATGAGATGGCATTGACTTTTCTAATTAGTTCATCTTCAGCTTTTGGATTTGTGTGAGCACAGTGAGACTACTCACCATAAAATATAAAATTCTAAAATATGTGAATATTGAACTATGTCTAACCCTAACTTTTACTTTAAGTTTATAGATAATACCTTGGTTGTGATATCCTATTTATAGGCTTAGGAAAAAATACTAAGAAATTGTAAGTTATAATCTATTTAATCATTCAACTACTATTTATTTTTCTCTTACTATTTGCCAAGAAATGAAAAATATAGGATAGCCCTCTGGTTAAAACCACTCTAATGTCTAGCCTATATTTTTCCTCATTTACATATAAAGAAGACGTTTTTCCTTAACCAGGACTCCCAAGTTTTTCATGACTCCTGTTTAAAGTACTTTTCACATACATGTTATGTTTTGGGCATTTCCTATGATGGTTTCTTTTATCCAGAGACAGTCTGTTTATTTCTTCCCAAACGAACTTTGCCTGACTGATCAGAGTTCTCTACTAATCACTGTTTTAACCCTTGACACTGATAGGCACTTTTTGACAAACGGAAGGGCTGCTGTCATGTGCCATTTTCCTGTGATCCTCTCTTTCTCAGGATTCTCATCCTGCAGGAGCACCTTATAACCAATCTCCTTGCTTCCCAATCACAATACCAGACCCAATTAGAAAGACCTTGTTTTTGTTTCTGATTTATTTAGTATTTTAATACAAAAAATAACTGGAACTGGTCATGAATGGCTAACTATTAGTCTCTCTCCCAAATCTTCTTCTGATTAGGAGAAATCATAATTCGTTTCTGACAATATCAACATACACATTCTTCCCTTTGAGAATATATAGCTTAGAAAAATAAGACAATGCTTTCTGAACATCAATGGAAGGCAAACATTGTTCACTAGAAAAGGGTAAAATTACTTGGTCCCAAAAGATTCCTATTGACAGAGTTCTTCTGGCTGTGTATAAACATTAATTCCTCCAGTTGTTCATATTTTCTTATATCAACCGTGTGTTGCAAAGAGTTCTTACATTTAAGTGCTGGATGCCGAAGAAGATGGGGCTAGAAGTTTACTCATGAACTGGAATGAAAATAAATATTCTGTTCAGAAAGTTAACATTTAATATTTAGCATTTTCTTTGCAATCATTTCTTAAGTGAAGCCACCTATCTAGTGAAGTGTCTCTGCTCTCTGTTGAAGAGAATAAATTAGATTAATTATGTTTTACCCATGACAGAAATGTGATTTCCTTTGAGACTTACGTAGATTTTATTTTTCTTAGTGATACATTTCTCCAGATTACTTTAAGATATCATTTAATACTTACTTTAAGAAAAATAGTCTCATCACTATCAAGCCATTTGGCCATTTTACTGATTATATTACTTGCTATATTAGTTGAAACACAGACTGTGACATTTTGTTAGTTTACTAATTAAATATGCCTGGTTTGCAGAGATTAGGTTTATCTAAAATTAGTAGTAAGATACAAAAGAAATTTGTGATGTATTGTCATTTGCTTCTTGCAGAAAGTTGGTTGTGATGGCTTATTAGGGTCTCTTGCAAGGGAAGACCACTGTGGAGTGTGCAACGGCAATGGAAAATCATGCAAAGTCATTAAGGGGGATTTTAATCACACCAGAGGAGCAGGTAATTTTTTCTTTTTTATATTTAATAATCCCTACAGTCTTTGGGGGAAAAAGAATACATTGAACTTGACTTAAGAGATCACAGTTACAATCCTATAGAAGCCATTTTCAGTGAGTACTGAATGATTTTTCACAATGACATACAATATATGTGATAGGAGCCAGAAATTTAAACAAGCTCATTTCCCAATAATGAAAATATGAAGTCATCTGTTGTGCATTTAGTGAGAGCAGCAAGGGGATAATCTAATTTGCATTGGTTAATGTCACCAAGTTTCTGCAGACCTCATTCTCCAATGCAAAGTATGTCTAATAGAAAATAATGATTTGTAGCAGCAACCATTGAGAATATTACCCTTCAACTTTTCAGCTTTCCATTTGTCCTCATTTTTAAAGAGTTTTCACTAAATTTCAAGGGAATAAATTTTTTAAAACTGAGGATATTAAAACAGTGTAGTATGGTTGAAATCATAACAGGGGAGGAGGGATCAGAAGACCTGAGAAAATGTTACAAACATATTAACAGCAAGAGCTATTCTCCCTTCTTTTGTTTCCTTATCTATAAATATTAATAATCAGGGAATATGAGGATAAAACGATCTTGTGAATGATCTATGTGATGTGAGATTGAAGAGATTAACAAGAGCCAGTTACAGTATCTACAGCTGTAATGGTCCAAAATATGCTTTATGTGCAGAAAATGCTCTAGACTCAAACTCTCAGTCTGACAGAGAAGAAGTAAACATGTTCTGTGTTTCCATTTCCATCTTCCCTGGACATGTATCTATTGTACCATCATTTATGACTATTTTCATCATTCTCTATATGCTTATATTACCTACATTAACAGTTTCCTATTTCAAATTGCTTTCTTGTTCAAAAAATACCAGAATCCCTGAGACTAACATATACATCAGTTATATTACAAAGAACAAGGTGTTTGTGTTTGAGTAAGCAAGAAAGCTGACTTCATTCTACAGGAGTCCTTTAGAAAAGAAATTCAGGCACAGCCTCCTGCAAATTGAATATAAACTTTTACTAAACCCAAACAGAATAAAAGATAAGTTAGCTAAAAGAATTTAGCACCAAAACACAACTAAGGCCCAGAATAAATTGCATATCAAAACCCCAGTCTCCAAAGCTGTGAAAAAGGCTGTGAGCCCCACACATCAAAATCTACCAGCACTGACATAGCAAAGACACCCTTAACTGACACAGGCTCTCAGTCTTTCAACCAAAAAAGCATAATTATAAGAAGTGCTTCCTCCTGAGTGAGATGAGAAAAAGCTTTTTACAGTGCAGAAGCTGAAAAATGGAAAGACTAAAGAAATGTAAACAATATAATTTTGAAAAGCATTTGCATAGTTAATAAACATGTAAACAGTTCACTGGAGAATTCTGATACACATTAAGCACTGATATCATTATTTTAATTGCAATAACATTTCATTGCTCCATTACAAAAAAATGGATATATCATGAAAAGCTCAGTGATGAGGCCAGGTGTGGTGGCCCACACCTGTAATTCCAGTTCCTTGGAAGGCAGAGTTGAGGAGGATTATAGTTTGAGGCCAGCCTAGACAAAAAGTTACCCAGACAACACCACCCGCTATACATCCCACTCACTCCCCTACTCCGAGTCTTGTAGTATGTGCCTGGTATCCAACTACAGGGGAGACAAAGTTAAGAGAATCATAGACTGATGCCAGCCCTGGACAAAAATAACTGAAAAATAACTAAAAAAGGCAATTAAATTTAAAAAAAAAAAAAAAAGGAGAAGAAGAAGGTCTGGGTACATAGCTCAAGTGGTAGAGCACCTAGTGGGAGAGTGCCTGCCTAGCAAGTGCAAGGCTCTGGCTTCAAGTGAAATTCAGTGATGCTTTTCATCCTGACTACAGTTACCTGGCTGCAGTTATATGGATATGTTTTTTCTCAGGTAATCAACCCCTCAGTGATTTTATTCCACTTTAAAACCTACTTTTGCCCGTTCACTGTAGGTGGGTTATGTCTTTTTAGGTTTTTTGTTGTTGTTGTGCTGGTGTACATTGTGGCATTTACAAAAGGTCTTAGAATATATCAAACATATCATACTTGATATCACCACCCTCTCCATCACTCTTTTTTATCCTACCTCCCCCCATTCCTGGAATATTTTCAACAGGTCTCATTTTTCTACTTATATACATGTATACACCGTATTTGTACCATATTCATCCTCCTTCACCATTTCCCCACATCTTCCCACTGGTACTAATTCCCCTGGACAGGACCTGTCCAGCCCTCCTGTTCTCCAATTTTGTAAAAGAAAAAAAATGACATTTTTGTTTATTAAAGAGCTACACAGGGAGTTTCCTTGTGACATTTCCATGTATATATGTATTATAACCTGAGTTTGTTCATCTCCTCTATTTTTCTTCTTTCTATCCTAGTCCCTTTCTTAGGACGATTTTAACAGGTTTAAAAATTCTGTATTCATTCTTGTACAGAGAGTTCATCAACCACAATCACCCTCTTAACCTCCTTCTTTTACCCTCTGTAGAGAGGCCTTATTAAGAGCATTTGTTGTTTGGAAAACATCTGAGGTGTTTGATACTCAGAACATCAGAACTGGTAATGCCACTTCTTCCTTACAACTCTACTTGAGCTTCACATTGCTTACAAGAAAGAAACCAGAATTCTTAATGTGTACCACAAGACAATAGGAGGCCTGCCCTGCTTCTGTCTTTCCAGCCTCACATCACAGTAGGTTCCCTTCCTCCTCTCTGTTGGAACCCACAGCACTCACTTTTCAAATGTGAATCTGTCTGCTTCCTTTTAGCTTTCCTGGGTAAATTTCTGGACATCACTTAGTTCAAATGTCACTTTTTTAGTGAAGTTATCCTCAACAAGCCTTGCCTCCCTCCCTTATGACAACTTCAGAAAAGTTCACCATCTATGTATCCATATGATGCAGTGGTGATTACCTCTGCAATTTTGCCTGCGTAGTGTATCTTTCACATTGGACTTCAAGCCCAACCAGGAGAAATACCATGGCTATCTTTGTTCCCAATTACCAGCATCCATTAAAATCTGTTAATTTGATTAATAATGAAGCATTACATTGTTTAGAACTTCAAATTGTCTAAAAAAGCTGGATGACTCTTTAATTCTATCTTGGGCTTCATCTACGTGTGACTTTAGGAAAGTTGTATTCATTTCTCCCGAGACTATTTTATCTCTGCAGTTTATGAGCTTCCTAGAATTTCTCAAGGGTCTTGCAGGATTTCCTCATCCAGTTGGCCATGAATATGTGTATATTGTGTGAATATTGCACATGCACACATGTGGGTGTTTTCAGTCCCAGTGCTTTATTTAGAGTTTGCTAAATCATTTTTGTTGGAATTAGAAAATAAACTTATGAGGTATTTTTTCTTGGTACATATATTATGTCTTTCATTGCAGCTTGCCTAGCCAAGTAATAATTTCTTAAAGGTATAAAGGCAAATTGTGTATTTGGATGGTTGAGAAACTATATAGTTACTGGAACATACTAAGAAGAAAATGGGTACCAAGTGTGTTATTCTTGCATAAGAAAATGAAGTTCCTCCCTTGTATTAGGAGGATATGTTCTTAGAGTTTTTGTTTGTTTGTTTGATTGCTACAGAATTAAAAGAGTCCTAGTCTCATCTATTCTAGTTTATGAAATCATAGCAGTTTGTCATAGCAGGAAGTGAATAGTGGAATCAGACAGATTTGAGTTCAAAACTTGGGTGAGCTAATTACTGGCAACGCACTGTTTAAAAGCATATTTTATACCTTTATTTTCTCATCTGTTAAATGAGACATGTAATCTAGGTTCACTGTCCCTTATCCAAAATGCTTTGGACCAAAAGTGTCTAAGATTTCACAGGGTTTTTTTTATTAAATATTGAAATATTTGTATCAACTTTACCTGTTGAGTGCCTCTAATTTGAAAATCCCAAATTAGGGATGTCCAACATATGTGTATGTTATCGTATAATTAAATAAAATAATTTATGTAAATTCTATAATAGTGACTAATATACACCAATAGTTAATTTGTCACTTCATTATTAGTGCCATGAAAATGATGATTGCTATTGGCATTTATGATGGCTGATTAAGATTGAGATCTCTGGGGCCCAGGCATGGTGGCTCACAGTTATAATCCCAGCTACTCCAGAGGTGAAATTGGAAGGATTGTGGTTATGGCAGTCATGGCAAAAAGCTAGGGAGACCTCAGCTCAACCAATAAGCCTGGCATGGTTGCGCATGCCTATGGTCTCAGCTGCATGGGAGACATAGGTAGGAGGATCATGATCCAGGCTGCTCCAGAAAAAAATACGAGACCCTATCCTAAAATAACTAAAGCAAAAAGGGTTGGGGGCATGACTCAAGTGGTAGAGCACCAGCTTAGCAAGCACAAGTCCCTGAGTTCAAACCCCAGTACCTTACTGCCCCCAAAAGAATAAGCTCTGTGGTTATAAAATAGGATATTTCTGCATGCAAAACAGAGTGTCCAACGTAAGGTTCAAATTTATGACTATAATGTCACTGACTTCTTGTTCCACCTGCTAAGCTAGACACCAGCCACTCTTCCATGTGCTTTGTAAAAATGTACATTTTTAATCATTGCTAACTGGTTTACTTACTGAAAAATAACCCCTGGTCATTATCTTTATCTCTTCATGTCTTTATTTAATATTTTTCTTCCTCTTTTTCTTCTTTAAAAATCAGTCTAACTCACCTGTCCTATAAGGTACACTGTCTTATAATATAGTATTGCTCAAGGTATAATGATACACTGAGAGATGATTATCTCTGTAATATACAGTTCTAAGTTTGCTGCTTAAACTCAAACAAGAATACATACCTACTGTCTCTGCTTTGTTCTATCAACTCTCCTTTTTATAGAATCCTGAAATTTAATATTTTCTCCAAACATGTTACTAAATTTATTTGCTCGGAAATTAAAGTCACGTCCTAGTCACCTTTCTCTTTGGTATCCCTGTATCTGTAGACACAGTTGAGCAACTCTTCTCAAGGCAAGTCATCTGTAGGATTCCCCATACCAAATTGGAGCTTATCTCCAGCTCATGATTCTTCTTTTTCAGTATTGAATTCTTATTTATTTCTTGTCTCTTCCTTAAAAACGATGGCTGTCACCATAGACCTTGACTTCTCTTCCCTCTTAATCTTCTCCATGGGTAATTTAGCTCATGACTTAAGTTACTGCTTCTGCAGGAAGGCTTTGACCTTGCCCTGCAGCTCCAGATGTTTCAGAGAACTCACTGGATGTTTTTAATAGCCTATTGTAATATTTTGTTAAATACAAATAGCAAAGCTGAATTTACCAAATTGTTACCAAAATTAGGTAAATCCTGTCTTGATTTCCAGGTTCCTATAAATGGTGGCCCCATTCTTACACAAGTAATAATTCCCCATGTGTTCAATATCTATTTCCCACCTTGAAATAGTAGGTATCAAGTTCAGAAATATTTTTCTTCTTCACGGTATTTTCTGGATTTTCTACCTTAGCCTATCCCACTACTAGATTTCAGCCTCCTTACACCATCACTCATAATATCCTGCATATTGCTATTAGATAGAGCTTCTCCAAACCAGAATCTAATGACCTAGTTTTTCCAAGTTTAGTAGCTCCAAGTTGATAAATTCATTAAATTCGCCTTAATAGAACCACTCCTTATGTCTTCTTATTTCTTCAAAATTATTTTACTCAGCTGTTAAACAATACTGTTTATCCCATATTCTTCTTTATATCCAATGAAGTAATTCTTTTTCTGTATTGATCTAAATCTTGGACATTTTCCAAAGACATTTTGCCTATTTACTTATTTTTGTGAAAAATACACTTGATATATATTTGTTCTCTCCTCCAAATCATAGTAATTTGGGTGGTTGCCAGTGTTTTTCAAATGTGAGTAATGTATATAACCATTTAAAAGGAAGAAAAAAATTCCACTTTAGTAAGTAAGACTAGCAGTGAATCTTTGAGAGATGTAGCTCAGAGAAGGGAGACAGCTTTTAAAACCCTCTTGCATACTCTTTAGCAGGGAATTAACCATATTCTTTTATATATTATCTTCTTGATATAATTTTTTGCAGTTTTATTTGACTCATTTACATTAGCTATTTATGCCTCTTCTTTCCAATTTAATTATAAGCTCATTCAGGGCAGAGACCATCTTTTCTTACTTCTGTGTACAAATACCCACTGACCATTTGTTTCTGTTTTCATCATCATCATCCCCTGTTTTGGTCATGTAACAAAATGACTGTATTCTTATACTTGGTGCTACAAAAAGTGGTTGGATGTTACTAAAAACAAGCAATCCAATAATTAATTAAATATGCTGTGGTTTTGAGTGGAATTTATGATTCCAAAATCACAAGCCTCTAATACCAGCCACTGTCACCAGCTGGGGTATATGCTACCTTCTGATGGGTGCCAAATGACTAAACATTTGAGGAATTTAGAGTCAGCTCTTGTGCCTTTTTTGCAGCTTGAAATCAGACTTTTATCAGATACATGAATCTACACAAAATACTAAGAAAAATATTATTTTAATATCTTCTTAAAACATAACTGTTCAGCTAAAAGTAGGTGCCTGCTCTATCAGTGTTCTGCACTAAATTAAATCTTGATTCCCTCTCTGCTGTCCATGTTCTTTTAATTTATTTCAAGTATTAAGTCTCTAATCTCTGCACAAAAATCCTTCCTGACAAACATCCAATTATGTCTTGCATTTAAGTGTCTGACACCTGGAAGGTGACACTAGGTTGCATAGTGATGCCTTACTCCAGTTTCAACTGCAGTTTCTGGTCTCCAACTCCTGTTTCAAACCTTTTGCTGTCTCCCCACAGAAAGGCTGTTCTCTTTGTCCCATAGTAGCTACTTCAAGGGCTAGTCTAGGCCAGCTGTATTTTTTCAAGCTGTGTTTCCTTCTTCTCTGCATTTTTGAACTTAAAGGAGTTCCCAGAACAAAAATTCACGTTAATTTCTGTTCCACAACCCACGTTTTTTCTAACGAAGCTGTCTCACAGAGCTTTTTCTCTCCTCGCTATTAAGAGCTCTTCTACATAAAACACAATTGTTTATTTGTCCTCAAAAGAGTTGAAATCTCAACATCTCTCCAAGAAACTTCTCTTGAAATCATTACAGCTTTTATAATAAAAAATTGTCTTTACACAGCCATTGAAATATTCTGCAAATAACAAAAACCAAATGGATAAAATAAAAAAGGCAAGTCAATTAAGAGAAAAGATTTCATAAGAACTCCACATTTATTTCATGTTTTATTGACTCTTGCAGGTTATGTAGAAGTGCTGGTGATACCTGCTGGAGCAAGAAGAATCAAAGTTGTGGAGGAAAAGCCTGCACATAGCTATTTAGGTAACCTGTGTTACAGACACAGAGACGATGGAAAGCAGGAGCCCACCTCCCTGTCCTGAAAGTTCATTATATGGGGATGAGGAAGTCAGGCTGTGTGTACTTTCATGTCTGAACTCCCACGAAGCACCTGTTAGCTCAATGAGCAAATTTCTCCTCTCCCAAAGACTTCCCAGAAGCAAAAGCAATATGGTTTTCTATGATTTTTTGGGGAGAAAGAGGGATAAAAATTTCTTTCCACATCTTAGCCTATGATAAAAAAACTCATTGAATGACAGAAATGTTTTATTACAAATATGTGCATATTTATTATATAATCCATCAATGTATTTATTTCATGCCTATATTTAAACCCATTATGAACATATACACATATTTTTATTAGCTGCATATATAAATGCATACATAAGTTTATAAAATGACTATTTTAGAATTAAGAGATCAAATTTGAAAAAAATTCTACCAATGAAAAGGACTTAACTTGTAATATAAAAGAATTCTTTCTTATTTCATTTTACGAAACTCACCTATGAAGAAATTAATTTTTAAATTTTAAGTATGGCTTGTGGGAAAGATTAAATCTGCCAATAAACCTGCCAATTGACTAGGTCAATTGATGATTTTTAAACATATAAAATAAAGGACAATTTGTTTTCATACACCACTTGTTCAGAGTACTCACATATAATTCTTTTTATACCTGTATCACTGGTTATGACTCTGCTTTCATTTCTCATTTTAGTAATTTAAGTTTCTCTCTCTTTCTCTTCTTCCCTCTCCCCTTTAGTGTAGCTAAAAGTTTGTCAATTTTGTTGATCCTGTTTAAGAATCATTTTTTCCTCTATTGCTTTTCTAATGGCTATTCATTTATCTTTGCTAATTATTTCCTTTCTTTTAATAGTTTATGGTTTAGTTCTTCAATTGTTAATTTGGTTTTTTTTTTTTGGTGGTACAGGGGTTTGAACTCAGGGCCTTGTGTTTGCTAGGTAGGTGCTCTACCACTTGAGCCATACTTTAGCCCTCTTCTTTTCTTAATGTAAGTGTTTATAGGTACATATTTCCTTCTTAACATGACCTTTGTGTGTCCCGTAAGTTTTAGTACGTTCCATTTTCTGTTTCATTTCTCTGGAAATTTGTTTAAAATTTCTTTCATGATTTTTTTATTTGATACATTCATCCTTTAAGAGTGTTTTGTTCAGTTTCTATGAAGTGGAGAATTTTCCAGTTTTATTTCTGTCATTTTCTAACTTCATTTCTTCATGGTGATAGAAATTATTTTGTATTGTATTTGTCTTCTAAGAACATTGACATTGCTTACAAAGGCATTATTAAAGCCTACCTCAGTCACTGATTTCTGCTTAGTATAAACACCAAAAGCTAGAGTCCTCTGTGGCCTCACTCTTTTTGCCACTCTAATATGATGATGCATCAGCAAATCCTGTCAGGACTTTGATGCCATCACTTTCCCTACAGTGAACATTGTGACCTCTGATCAAGCCACACTGGACACACTGCCCTCCTTCGCTTCCTTTCTAGGACTTACTGCTTTATGTTGTCTCCTTCTTTCGTAAGCTTCCTGTTATCTTCTCTAGCTCCTTTGTTAATTTTTGAAAGCATTTTTTCTGTACCTGTCTGCAATAAACAAAACAAAATGTAGCATATAGAAATTAATATCAACATTTTGAGTGAATTTTATTTAAGAAAATATGTTTCACACTTGTCATAAGATGGTGCATTACACATCACTTTTTTTTTTATGATATGGGGATTTTCCACTGGGCAGGCACTCTTTTTGCTTTTAATTATTTTTGGAATAGGGTCTTGCACTTTTGTTCATGCCATGTAGACTACAATCCTCCTCTTTGTGCTTTCTCACATATCTGGGGATGACAGGTGCTCACCACTGTACCCATCCATTGTTTGAGATGGGGGTCTCACTGACTTTTTGCCTTCCCTGACCTTGAGGCACAATCTTCCCAATGTCTGCCTCCTGAGTAGCTATAATTACAGGGTTGAGTCATCATGCCCAGTCTCACAACACCTCTGTGAAGTAGGCACTACTAACTTCCCAGTATTTTGTTTTTTTTTTTACCCAAGGTCACACATCTAAAAATGTATGATCCTGGATTTGAACTCAAGGAATCTAGCCATAGCATCCATGTTCCTAGGCACTGAGCTATGCTATATCTTTTTCATGTTTCCTTTGATAAAATCATTGCCTTCCATGAAACACTTGTGATTTTTTTAATTATACAAGTCCTATTTGAACATATTTTCCCTAAACGTCCCCCACATTGCCTCTTTTTTTTTTTACCTCTTTTGAGCTAATATGATTAATTGATTGTATAGAATCAATATGGGAAGATACAAATCACGAAATGGCTTTTCTTCTCCAGTCACCGCCTCCGATTTTGTCAATCCCATCTTCTTTCATTGCTATAGACCTCTAAGCATAAATAGTCAAGATTTGTTGTTGTAAAAAGGCCATTATGTTTAAAACATGAATCCCCTGTCTTTTTTTTTTTTTCATTTTTCTTTTATTATTCATATGTGCATACAAGGCTTGGTTCATTTCTCCCCCCTGCCCCCACCCCCTCCCTTACCACCCACTCCACCCCCTCCCGCTCCCCCCCCTCAATACCCAGCAGAAACTATTTTGCCCTTATCTCTAATTTTGTTGTAGAGAGAGTATAAGCAATAATAGGAAGGAACAAGGGGTTTTGCTGGTTGAGATAAGGATAGCTATACAGGGCATTGACTCACATTGATTTCCTGTGCGTGGGTGTTACCTTCTAGGTTAATTCTTTTTTGATCTAACCTTTTCTCTAGTTCCTGGTCCCCTTTTCCTATTCCCTGGTCCCCTTTTCCTATTTCCTGGTCCCCTTTTCCTATTGGCCTCAGTTGCTTTAAGGTATCTGCTTTAGTTTCTCTGCATTAAGGGCTACAAATGCTAGCTAGTTTTTAGGTGTCTAAATTCATGTTTAAAACATGAATCCCCTATCTGTCTTAAGTGTCTTTAATTATTTTTAAGCTTTTTAGTTATCTGTAAGTTTTTAATTATTTGTAAGCTTTTACTGTGCTTAACTTTGGGTCTAAGTTAGCAGGTTTTTCATTTGTAAAAAGAAACAGCTTCTGTGAGCCTAACTAGCATAAATGTTACTCCGGAGATAAAAATCAATATTCCCATATATGTTATCATGAAACTCAAGTGCCCACTAATGTTCCTATTTATTCAACTAACAAAGAATAATAATCCTAACGAATTGGCAGAAGGATACAGGAATGATGGCATAAACCGATTAATTGAATAGGAGTAAGAAAAACCTAGGGCTTCCAGAGAGATGGAAGAAGTTGCATTGATGGAACTTGTTGAAAAATGGATGTGCATGTTGATGGAGGGTAAAGATTCAAGTATGACTTCTAGGTTTTGGCAAGTAGTAGTGCCATTTATTGATATTGGACAAATGGCTGAAGAGCAAGTTTGGATTAAAAAAGAAGTGATACAGTGTTAAAATCCTACATTTCAAGCCCAAAGACCTGACAAATGGACTACATGTCATAAGTCATACTTCCTAAAGGCTCCTTTGGGTATAGGAAGTAGTCATAGGAAATCTTCATCATAAATAGCTTTAGCAAAAGAAAGGGAAGTAGAACCTTGGCAAGCTGATCATTCTTAATCAAATTCATTTGTCTACATCAAACTATGTATTATTTCATAGGAAACATTTAACTACCTCCCAATATAATTACTTTTCAATAGTTTCTCTTTGAATTGTCTTCTTATGCAGTTATCTACTTTTCTGAAGATTATAACATTATTAACATGTTAATGATTTATCAAAAAAGCCTAAAATAGAGAGCCCATATGTTTTATCTATACAAAATCATTATAGTTCATGACTTCTACAAAATCTCAAAAAAGATACATGGACCAACTTATCTTGCCAACAGTTTTGTATGCATGGCATTCTCACTAAAAATTTAAAATGAGCAAAGTAGAACAGCGGATAAAAGCACCATAATTTATCTCTTATTTCACTCACTTTGAGTTGCTATAATAAATAACCATAGACTGGTAGTTTATAAACAACGATTTATGTCTTACATTTCTAGAAGCTGGAAGTCTGAGATCAGAGTGCCAGCATGGAGGGGTAGAACATTTGACTGCAGAGTGCCAGGCTGATGGGGTTCTGGCGAGGGCCCTTTCCTGGGTTGCAGACTGAAACGTCTAGCTGGGTCCTTATGTTGTAGAGAGAGGATGTGAACTCTCCTGAGACTCATGAGACTAATAATCTTATTTATGACTACTCTACCTTAATTCCTCATCGAATCCTCATTACCTCCTATTGACCCCACATCCTAATACTATTGCAGTAGGGGTTAGAGTTTCAACATATGAATTATGGAGGGACACAAGCATTCATCCCATAACACCTCCAAATGGGAAAGAAATTAAGGAACTTTCAGATGCCAAAAACAAAATGAAAACAAGAAGCCACACTATAAGAATCCTTCTGAAGTACCACTTAGCCTTAATGCTGGTGACCAGATTTAAACTTTGAGAGCCAAGGATGTTCTATGCTCAGAAAACAAAGCCTCAACCATTACAAAATGAGAACTTTAATAGGATATTCCTACATGAGCAAGAACTTGAAAAGATTATAAGCCCAGTGTATGGAGAAGGAAATACTTGTATACCACAAAAGAAGGAAAGGGACTGTGTCTATTAACATAAAATAACATCTGGACAGGTGGAAATAGAAAAGCAATTTTTTCCTGAGGATGTGTACTGTAAAACAAACCCACACTTGGATTTGCAGTTGCCAAGGGGACTGGTGTATGTAAATGCAGATCCTTTTTTAAGGAATGCATCTTCAAATCAGGCATCCAAAAATTCTATAAAGTGCAACAACTGTACTTTGGTAGTAAAAAATAATCCAGAAACCACAAATGGAAGTAAACACCATGAACAATACCCAGAAAAAGCAAATGAGAGCAGTCAGACATAGAAATTGGATCACATAGAAAATGGATTACATATAAAGCAAGACTTAAAAGTAAG